TCTGGGTATTCATTCTGGACCCACAAGGGGATGGACCGGGAAAGCCAGCCACCATAGTAACTACACCACGCAATCACCAAACTATTTTGTGGCGGAGCCAATAAGTTCAACCCGAGTCGACTTGCGAAACACCCCGGACCAGGTCAAACAGAACCCACACTGCTCTAGTAGGGAAAGCCTCAACGGTTCAAGCCGTCCCAAGAATCCTTTGCCAATCGAGGCCCACACATTCCACATAGGGATGCACCACTAGAAAACCACTGAAAACTCAAAGCAAGAACCCAATGTCCATGCACTGAAGGAAACATCTGCAGTAAAACCCAACTAATTTGGTGTCTTATGTGTCTTATTCTTATGTGTCTTATTCTATGAATCCTGGTGAATCCCCATGATCTTTCCATGATGTCCGTGGCATCTCTCAAGGGCCTGTCCACGGCGTTGGAAGGAGTCGACCTTCAACGTGTCTTCCAGACACTTCTCTTGGATCGCCTTGTAGATCCTCGCGGCTCCCACTGCTTGTTGCTGAGACTTCGCAGAATCCGTCGAATGAACCTGACTGAAATATGATCAATCAAAATCAATCAAACATCTTTAAACATGTTTTAACATCATGACAGATCATTACAGATCATTACAGATCATTACAGATTATGCTAAACCAGCTTGTAGAACCCAGACGAAAGGGTAACGGCCGGGTAACTCGCAGACCATGGCTGCCACTCGGTGACATAGCCTCTCAGTTGGAACTTGGGGAATCCCTCCAAATTCGCAAGTGAAGTACCGGAAATTTGATATATTTGATGAACAAACATGATATGGAATAATTTCAGACAAACCCAAATGATTGCTCAGTCCTTCTCATATATTCGGTGAGGGATCCCAGACAGTAAATAAAATTATGTTTTGATCATTTTTTATCTATGTCCCTCAGCATACATTTAGGCTCAGCAGAACTGCACTAATTCCGGCTTTCTCAAGCTTCAGGGAAACGGTCGCCGCCAAAAAAAGACAGTTTTTTCGAGGGTACTTACTTCTGAGGCATTTCCAAATCTTGCACCAGTTGGAATATGCCTTCAACAAAGCAAGGACACCACAAGCATTACTTCTTCGCCATTTGCGACTCAAAAGTGGGCCTACCTATATAGGTGCCCCATTGATGGGTTGTCACTTTCAAAAACATCTTCACATAGCTCGCCCGGCCAACGTCCGGAGGTCCTTTTCTGCGTGTCCGTCAACTCACACTCTTGATCCTGCCAGGGTCCAGGATGCAGAACAGCAGATGGAGGTCAAAACCATCATGCCCTTGCTTGTGTATCCTAAGAAACGAGCACAACAGATACTCGCTTGCGTTTATCTACAAAATGTATCACAATATGTCAAATAGATTCAAATAGGTGTTTGTTCCGCTTGAATCACACCCAAAAATACATGTTCAGCTTGCAACCCAAAAGATCATCACTGCGGAGCGCCATGACGGCCATGACGGCCATGATGATCTCCTTTCAACGGAACATTTACCATGGGCTTCTCAGGCTATCACGGTACCTATGGCATCCTGTGGCATGCTGTTTCACCAACTCACCAACTCCAATTCGCACACCGTGGCGAATTTTGGAGACCTTTAGATATCCGAAAAAACGATGCAAAAGACTTTTCTCTAGCTGGGCAACCCCCCACAGTAAGGCAAAAGATGAAACAGCAAGCCACCCATGCAAGGTTTTCCCAGCCCCAATCTTCTTTTACCGAGCCTGTTCGATCTTCTCCGGCAGATCCGCCGCGATCTCCGGATCAGTCTTCAGGCGGCGCATCAGAAAGGGCTTCACCAAGCGGCGCAGGGACTCTTGACTGCAGCGTTTTTTTGGGGGAGGCGGCTTGGTGGCAAAATGGCTCCAAGGGGTAGTGCCAAAACTTGGATGGGAAAATTGAGTGCCAACATGGCAAATTGTAAGATGCCAACATGAGATTGTCAGGAAGAGACATCTCAAATTCTGTTTTTTGGATGGTGTAGGGATCTAGTGAATAGATGTGAATAGTTGGAAACTCTGAAAATAGGCACCGGAGATGGCCAAAGTCATGTGTGTATGTGGTTTCGGAAAACTTTGTCTGCCAGCACAAAATGCAGCTGGGGCCCTAACAATGATGATCCCTCTGCATCACACACCTTTCCAATTGTCAGTCCATCCCACCTAAAAACCAGTGAGATTCCTTGTTCCATCTCAATTTCTGGGGATGAAATGACTATCCCCAGCCCATGATTTCTGTTGATGGTCTCCCAAAAAATGTGGGCCACTGAAACATTCGGGATGGTCATCCGAATGGACATGAAATAGAAACTCGTGAAGACACCACTTAGAACACTTAGATATGCGCTGCTTATCCGTTTTTTTTGGTGAAATCCCCCATACCTCCATCTTTCTTGGATAGATTATGATGCCTGGAAACTTAAGGCTATCTATCTGAACCCACCCAATTCCCAACTGTTTCCCAAGGGGCACCTGGCAAGTCCAGCATGATCCTGTCCCGTCGTCGCCGTTCCCTCTGCCGCCGCGCGTGCCGCGGCCGCCTGGCCGCGCACGCTGCGGCGCACGGAGTTGGTCACGGGGCGGCCGAAGCTGCGCCTCGGAGAACCACAAAAGAGTGCGGCTACTGGCGATGGCAGTGGGATACGGTAGACAGAGAAGGATTCAACCAACAAATGCCAGAACACGAAGGCGACCGAAGCAAATCACACGTGTCGAACTTTTGCTCTATGTGAACACTCCGATTTCTGTGGTACATCGGGAGTGTTGAATGACTTGATCCACACCCACTAGAACAATGAAAACGTCTTCGAGACTTGGAGGAACAGAGCAGAACCTCAGAATTCTATGCTGGACTACCCAAGTTTCAACCAGAGCCATAGCAAACGAACAGAAAATGCGGGACGTTCTTGTGCCATTTTTCTGAGGACCCCCCCCCCTGAAGCCCTGATCACCCTGGTCCAAATCAACCCTAACAGCCGCCGGCTGAGCAGCTGAAAATCTGCTTTCGACGAAGCCAAATATCCTGAGACTGGGCAACTATCATGACACCCATGGATGGACTTGGATGTAGCTTAACCAAAAAAAAAGTTGGCATTTAGCGTAGCAAATGAATATTGATCTGAAGTACAAAAAATGACGTACCCAACAAAAAGCGGATCTAAACAACAATGACGATTCCACACACGACAAATTCATCCTCCTGTGAATTTAAGGTGAAGGCTGCGTAACCAGTTTGTGGCGAAGAAACGGTTTGCATAGCCTCAAGCTCTACTAAATGGATGTACATGCACGATCGAATTTCACTACTAAATGTGGGCCCTTTGTTCAGCTGAAGTGCAAGATTTTGATATATTTTCGAAGTCTCTTAAGCGACCAACATGACTCGACTAACATATCAATTTTACCTCTGTACTAAATGTGGATCATGGGTCTAGAGATGTTTACTTGATTTGTTTTGAAAAATCATGAAAAATCATGATTCTCTACTAAATGGTTTCTGGAAATTTCACTGTAATTTTTTGGTTCACTTTCCAGGACCCAGGTCATAGCATTTACTAGGGGAAATTCACACGGGGATACAAATTCCATGTTCATTCTTCGTCTGTATCCACGTCCATACATCACGTTAGTTTTCCACAGTTTTTGACCTTGTGTTGGCCAATCCAGCTTTCTTTCCAATCGTTTACTTTGATTGGAAGATAGAACAATATTGCAAAATTGTTAATGGCGCAATATGGCGCAATATTGCAGTGTTGCCCCCTGTATGCTTGCGTGGTCAAACTGTGGTTTTCCTTTCCAAAAAAATGTTGTTTGTTAAACCATTGGAATTGAAGATGGAAGCCAAAATGGAAATTGGGTTGCTTTACTCTCGTTTCTTTCGGCTCAATCCTCGTTCAAGCTGAATCCCCGACTCTTGCAGGCCAAATTCCCATTCTTGCACACTCACATCAGGCCATACTTTGTGCTCTGGTTGAAACCCTATGATTTCTTTGCGAAGGCGAATATGAAAGTATAATATATAAATGAAAACAATCCTGGGTTTGTGCCAAAATTTAAAATAAGGCAACCCTCTGTTGCTGATTAAACGCTCATCTCTGTTGCTCTATTCATCCTATCTTTGAGGCGGCAAACCCATATATTCCGATAATTGTTCGTATGTGAATTCTCTTCCCATTGTGGCCACTAATTCTTCTTGCATAGTATCATCCCCATCATTGCTCCGTTCTGGCACATCCCAGTTGCGAAGCGGTGACTAGTCACGGTAGTATAATACTGATACTCCAGTTGGATCCAGTTGAAGTGCTAGAGTAATGGAATATCGTACCGTGATGTACCGTGTAGTTTCTCAATCACCGACCATGCCTCGGATGCCTCCCCAGGGTCCCAGGATCCAGGCAAGATGTATTCGAACTGGCTGTGCAAATCCAGCAGCTTGTTCTCCACCGGCGTCCCACTGAGGGAAATCCGAATGGGCCCCACGTGCTCTGCCACTTCTTTCCTGGTGGGTGGACGCGCCGGGCAGGGTAACCTGGTGATATTTCATAAACATCGACCCCAATCTATTCGGGCAGGATTTCCTGGGTGGGTTTATTGGTGAACAAAAAAACATCTGAAAAATTTGGAGGCTTGCCGAATCTAGCTCTGTCGAAATGAATGGCCAAAATCAAAATCGTTGGTTTTTTTCATGAACTTATAACAAAAAGACGTTAACAACCTATATATGGAAATCATGGCAGCAAGGTGAGGCAAGGTGAGGCCATTGGGATCCAACTCAAAGCACCGGGTTCGACCAAGCAGCACGGCCCTGGAGATCTGTGTGGTGTGGTTTTTGATCTGCTGAGCCTGAAATCTCGTGGCTATGGGGAACCAGGGAACCATAAAAACAGCCAGTGGCTATGGTAGTTTGAGCCGCTCGCCGATGGTTGTTCTGCGAGCCATTGCCATGTTGGATTATGGACATTTCCTCACCATATGAAAAACACGGGGCCCGTTGTATGTAAAAACTGTGTCTGTTTAAGGGGTCCACGGACCGTACCATTGTTGGTGGTTTCAGGGATCTGGGTTCCTCCAAAGAATGAAGGATGCTCCAATTTAGCGCTTCATGTAGCCACAGTGACTAAATTTGATAAACCACTGGATGTTTGGATCATGGGACTCCATGGAACTCGTGTGAAAAGCTGCAATCCCAATGGATGGGTAATGGATGGCTAATGGTTAATGATGGTTATAACAATGGTTAATGATGGTGAAAATAGTGGTGAATGGATGGTGAATGGATAATAATGGTTAATTATGATGGTTAATGATGGTTACCCTCTGGTAAACGTTTACATAACGAACTGGAAAATCACCATGTTTAATGGGAAAATCATGGAAAATCCATGAAAATCCACTATAAATGGTCATTTTCAATAGCTATGTTAAATTACCAGACAGTAAGAAAAATGACAAATGGGGGAATTGGAAATGGTCCTACGGTTTATGGCGCCGGGTTTTCCGAAGCAGTTTCGCGGCATCCACCTTTGATGGGAGGTCATTTGAGGGCGCTATGAATTATCCAGTTTGAGTCCCATTTCTTTGCAGTTACCCAACCAAAATCGGTTTATTTGACCTGCAAAAATATTGGCTTACAAAATCTTATGAATGTATATAATTACCATATCTTAATTCGCATAGATCATCCATTTGCGGAAAAAACTGTATATTGATGCTTCTATCCCATGAGACTATCAATCACTATGTCCAGTTATATCATATCTATTCACAACTTGATATCATCGGATATAGTGATATAGTTGATTGATAGTCTCATGGGATAGAACCCATATCATGGGATATAGTTGATAGTTGGGTTCCCTCCCAACTAACAGTAACTAAGAATCAACTAACAGTAGGTAATCAATTAACTAACAATCAATCAAATTGATTGATCACGATTGATCTAAGAGTAACTCACACTTTTTTCAATGGGCATATGTTTCAATGGATCCTTTTAAAGACGACCCCGTCTTAAGCCTCGCCATCCTCGCCTCGTCCAGCAACATCCCTCCAAAGGCGTTGGGGACACTCCTTGGCGCTCTTAAATTTTTGGTGACCCAGTGATCCCCATGGGATAGTTGGGATGCTATTGGATTACAACTTACGAGTTTTTTTGGGTATTCGCCAACTTATTCATTGATTCATAATTTTACAAGAAATGAATGGTTTTATATGAGTTTAAAATAGTTTAAATACTGTACTGGAATTGACCAATTGCCACATGTTGGACAACCAAGAAGAATGACAATGTTGGAATCGGGGATGCGAACAATGACCAGGGGATCAGTTTTTGCACCTTCAGGCAGCTACAATCAGCAAACATGGCTGCAAGTCCCTAGACTTGTTGCTCACAATTTCAAACTGCCTGTTCATGTCCAAAGATATCCAAAGCATGGAAACACAGCTGGATTGCCATTTGATTCAGCCCCAAAGGATCTATCTCTACGTCTTTGCAAGATAATGCATGATTCATCCGGTTGAAAAATTGTGTTTTGAAAAGGAATATCCACCCAACACATGGTGATTGCACAGTATCTGCTGATTTCCAACTGATCCCTTCATCCCATGGGTCAACGGGACTGCCGCGCGTCAAGGCAGCGACACTGCACCGGAAGGTCCCGTAGGACGTCAGGAAGACGTCGGCGGACTGCTTGGCCACGCGCGCCTCGTTTTCGTCGTTGTCATTGCACATGGGATGTAGCATGGTATCACCCCAGGTGAAAGTGATGAACCAGAGGATTGATCAAATTGATCAGTACCCATTAGTAATAGGAATTCTACAAATCATCATGGGGGATGGAATGGAGAGATGACCATAGAAATAAGGTCTTTGACCATCAAACATCAGGTGAGCAGGCCATTTTTAGCATTCGACCATCCAATTTTGGGGCCCGGTCAATTGACGCATATCCCAGGCCTTAGGTTGGGAAAATCTTCACCAGAATCCATGGAGTTTTTTGCCAATGATGGGGACTATACATAGTATAATATAGTTGATGGAGAGGATTCAGAGAATACTAGGGGGTTAGGTTCGGATTGATGGTTGTACTAGGTGGTTAGGCTTCGCCAGGAGACCTTGACAGCCTTCTTCTCGATGTACAGTTTCTTCGCGTTCTGCTTGCCATTCAAACGCCGACACTTGGGTGGCCTCGCTGCAGATGCCTTCGCCACCTCCCCGAAAAAATTGGGCAGTTGAAATCATCATCCCCGAGTTAAATGGAAAATGAACAGCGTTGGAACTACCAATTAAATGTGGTTGAGTTCACAGTTCAACCAGCACTTGTGAACATGTTGCAGGGCTCCAAGAATGCCGTCCATCGAGATCCGGAAGGAGGATGAAACTCGATGAAACTCGCCATGTCCAAAATTCCTGTTGATGAAGAGGGTTAACCCAACCCGTATGTCTCACTACCAGAAGGTAACGTTGTGGTACATGATATATTCATCGTGTCCATCTAGATTTCCCCAAAAGGGCATATTCAATTGTTCATATATTCATCGGTTAAACTCAGCAATAATCCCCAGTGTTGCGGGTGATACCAGCCCCCCAGATGAGGACATCATCGCAACTTCCACCCCGTGAGTCGCTACTTGGGATGACACCATCTAACCACATCGCTGCCCTTTTCTCCCGACGTGACTGGGTCCAAACTTCCTACGTGCACTCAAAAAATACAAATGGAATGGTCATGCTTAACAGCAAACCACAGCATGTCGGGTGTGTCTTCTTGCAATTTGTGTTGTTTGAAAGCTCGTAAACCGTCCATTTCTAGTCTATAACCATCTCATAATTGCAGGGAACCCCTCATGACTTGACATTTCCCCTCAACTAAGAATTCCCAAACGATAAATAAGCCCAGTTCGGGTGGTTACCCCAACCCGAACTATCATTCCCCGGTCAGGAATCTTCATGATTGATGATTCCGTTACATCCGTGTTATATGAACTCATGTACTGTATATATTTACATATATCCCCATGTCTATGCATTCTCAGGATTGTTCCTGAGACCCCATAGCCAAAAGGGAAAAACTTGGTAAACGAAGAGGTGAAATTGCCATTTCGCTCTTCTTTTTCCCGAGAGCGCCTGCGAAGGGTTCTTCGTAAAAAAGCAGCCGTTATACTAGATCTTCACTCCTTCACATCTGCTGATCTAGATCTTCACTCCTTCACATCTGCTGATCTAGATCTTCACTCCTTCACATCTGCTGATCGAGATCTTCACTCCTTCACATCTGCGGATCTAGACATCTGCTGATCTAGATCTTCACTCCTTCACATCTGCAGATCTAGATCTTCTTACCCTCACATCTGCAGATCTAGATCTTCTTACCCTCACACCTGCAGATCTAGATCTTCACACCCTCACACCTGCAGATCTAGATCTTCACACCCTCACACCTGCAGATCTAGATCTTCACACCTTCACATCTGCAGATCTAGATCTTCACACCCTCACACCTGCAGATCTAGATCTTCCCACCCTCACACCTGCAGATCTAGATCTTCACACCCTCACATCTGCCGATCTACATCTTCACACCTTCACATCTGCAGATCTCCTCTCGCTCTTCTTCTATTCTCTCTTAAGGCGGGGGCGGTGCCGCCGGAGCGCCACGAAACGCAACCCTTTCGCACGAAATGGACGTTGGACGCCAAAAACTGAGGTAAAATTGTGATTTTACTTTGTCCATTGCAACCCTTTCGCACGAAATGGACGTTGGACGCCAAAAACTGAGGAAAAGTTGCGACTTTGAAGCGTCCCGCGCAACCCTTTCGCACGAAATGGACGTTGGACGTCAAAAACTGAAGAAAAATTGCAACTTTGAGGTGTCGCGCGCAACCCTTTCGCACGAAATGGACGTTGGACGTCAAAAACTGAGGAAAAATTGCGAGTTTACTTAGTCCCGCGCAACCCTTACGCACGAAATGGACGTTGGAAGTCAAAAACTGAGGAAAAATTGCGAATTTGAGTTGTCAATCGCAACCCTTACGCACGAAATGGACGTTGGACGTCAAAAACTGAGGAAAATTGCGACTTTGAGTTGTCAATCGGAACCCTTACGCACGAAATGGACGTTGGACGTCAAAAACTGAGGAAAAATTGCGACTTTGAGTAGTCCCGCGCAACCCTTACGCACGAAATGGACGTTGGACGTCAAAAACTGACAAAAAATTGCAATTTTACTGTGTGTAAAAGCTTCTGTGTGTAAAAGGGTCTGTGTGTAAAGGAGTCTGTGTGTAAAAGCTTCTGTGTGTAAAAGCGTTTGTGCGTAAAAGCGTCTGTGTGTAAAAGCGCCTGTGTGTAAAAGCTTCTGTGTGTAAAAGCGTCTGTGTGTAAAAGCGTCTGTGTGTAAAAGTGCAAAAGCGTTTGTGTGTAAAAGCGTCTGTGTGTAAAAGCGCCTGTGTGTAAAAGCTTCTGTGTGTAAAAGCGTCTGTGTGTAAAAGCGCCTGTGTGTAAAAGCTTCTGTGTGTAAAAGCCTCTGTGTGTAAAAGCTTCTGTGTATAAAAGCCTCTGTGTGTAAAAGCTTCTGTGTGTAAAAGCCTCTGTGTGTGAAAGTGTTGTGTGTAAAAGCGTCTGTGTGTAAAAGCGTCTGTGTGTAAAGGAGTCTGTGTGTAAAAGCTTCTGTGTAAGAGCGTCTGTGTGTAAAAGCTTCTGTGTGTAACAGCTTCTTTGTGTAAAAGTGTCTGTGTGTAAAAGTGTCTGTGTGTAAAAGGGTCTGTGTGTAAAAGCGTCTGTGAGTAAAAGCGTCTGTGTGTAAAAGCGTCTGTGTGTAAAAGCGTCTGTGTGTAAAAGCGTCTGTGTGTAAAAGCGTCTGTGTGTAAAAGCGTCTGTGTGTAAAAGCGTCTGTGTGTAAAAGCGTCTGTGTGTAAAAGCGTCTGTGTGTAAAAGCGGCTGTGTGTAAAAGCGTCTGTGTGTAAAAGCGTCTGTGTGTAAAAGCGTCTGTGTGTAAAAGCGTCTGTGTGTAAAAGCGTCTGTGTGTAAAAGCGTTTGTGTGTGAAAGCGT